AATAAAACATAAAAAAATAAGGAATATATCCGGTAGTTTTTTTTTCGAAGACCACTATCTTTGACCGATCTTAAGGTCAAGGAGTAATTATGGCTCAATAGTCATATTTTTCCGAATAAAGGAATTACATTAGTTTTCAAAAGCATTTTGTTTGATATCAAACAATTCGCATAGAGTTTTCAAAGAGCACACTGTGCGGCGCCGCAAGGTACTTACACATTCCAAAAAGCCATTTAAAATGCTCGTGCTCTATTCCACTTTGCATTGAAGATGAAAAACAACAAAAATCGAATATCTACTTAGTTACTATTTTTGGCTGCGTGAAATTCCCCTTCGAATTTTTACCTAAAAACTTCTTATAGTTCGATAATGTTTCGTTTATTTTATCAGTTATTAGTACTTCACATCTTTCTTTCTTTTACTTGCAGATCCTGCTACACTGAATATATTTTCGACGCGCCCCAATCCAAAGAAAAAACGTAAATCGCGCACAGCCTTCACAAATCACCAAATATTCGAGCTCGAGAAACGCTTCCTTTACCAAAAGTATTTATCACCGGCAGATCGTGACGAGATCGCTGCGGCCTTAGGTCTCTCCAATGCACAGGTAAGTGAATGTATCAACTTGCATTCATCTAGGCGTACATATATCACTGATTTCTCTTAATTCTCCAAAATAGGTGATCACTTGGTTCCAAAACAGACGTGCCAAATTGAAGCGGGACATGGAGGAGCTGAAAAAGGACGTCGAGAGCGTGAAACAATTGTCAGGACATAAAAGTTTTTTAGAAAATGTTAATGACTTAAGTATTTTAAAGACCCGACCAGTCAGCAGACATCAGCAGCCACCAATATCAATCGGCTTGCCGACAGCGCCTACAACAGCATCAGCAGCATTTAATGGCCACTCTGAACAGCAACCATCGCAATTTGGTGCAACATATGCACCGACTATCGCCCTTATCCTGCCTGCTGGCACAGTCACCCAGCCAGCAACAGCATCCATTCCCATACAACAAACACAGCGACATGAATCAGAAGCACTCAGTGTATCCATTGAAATTGCAACCAACCACCGAAGCGTCAGCGGCGGTGGGTGGGGTGAAGGCAACAACAGCGTGGCAGCAAGAGCGAACGGCCGCCGCACAGCCACCGACGCAAGCACCGACACATCTCAATCAAGGTTGCACCAACTCAACAACAGCAGAGGATAAGAAAGAGCTGAAAATGCTGAAAATGATGACTTTGATGTACTACACCAGCCGTGCACAGGCCGATGCTGCGGCTGGTGATGCCGTCACTGTGTGTGGCAAAGGTGTGGGTAGTGGCAACGGTGGCATACATGCCGACCGCACGTCGTGCAAGTTCAATGGCAATTAGTAAGAGACTCTTTTTACCAGATTGTTTGGAAAAATATCTGTATTAGCCCAATTTGTAAATTATACTGAAAAATAATGATTACGTATAGGATGCATTAAAAAGAATCTTGTATTGTATATATGTATGTTTGTAGATATAAATATGATTTAATTATAAGCATGTTTCCATATCCATAAGTATATATGTATGTTTGCACAGTTAGCAACAGATACATGTGAAGAAACAGTTACTATGCCAATTGCCAAAATTTAAAATATGTAAATCGAAAAGTAGGTCATTAAGCGCTGCACTTGCTTCACCGTTCATGTGCGTTAGTCGATGTACACTAGACTGGGTCACGAAAAAAGTTTCTTATAACGACCGCCACTAAATTGAAAACTTACTTGGAGGGGATTTTGGCATCATTAAAATGCTAGTCACACGTAGACAAGTCCCAAAAACCGTGAAAGTTTGTGAGCCATTTAAGAACCTGAACTTTTATAATAAAGGCCGTTGGGAAGAAATTAGTTTTGAACTTTTATTGCGTATGAAATAAAATAATCGGTCAACCCAGAATTTTTAAGGCCGAAATAAAAATCTGCTCCTAAGCAAATTTGGTATCAAATTGAAGAGGATTAAAATAATTTTTTAAACTGAAATACCTAAACGAGGAAGGCAACCTATTAAAAAACACTAATTACCATAGAACAATCCTTGGGTTAGGTATATGAATTTATTTTGTATTCAATTATAACAAAATTGTAAATGGATGGTAACCATTGCTTAGATATTTTTGTTTTGATAAGCGGTTTGTTTATTATTAGAAACGGAATTTTGTTTCGGCCTTAAAATTGATTTGGTCAAGTTTAACTCTTATTACTGAACTAAAAGAGTAAATTCCATATTTTTTGTTATTATGGGACTTTTTCTAAAACAGTTCGAAAAATAAAAAGATTCTAGGAATCTTGTCCTACATATTAATAACTTTCTTCTACGACAATCGGCCCTATGATGGTTATGGTCGAGCACGAAAATTTTTATAAAGCAAAAATCCCCACCAAGGAATTTCTTTTTTTTTGTTTTTTTTTTGAAACGGTAACCGATCCGGTCTAATGTGTACATACTACCTGCGTGATTATTAAGCAAAAAATACATAAATAAATAAATTCTATACACACATGCGTGTCTGCATAAACAACGGTGCATATGTATGTATATCAGATTTCACTTTTAAGCACAAATGTGATTTTTCCCTTCTTATTTAATTATGTAAATAAAATTTTTTTAATTCATATGAGATACCAATTATCCTTAATTGTTGTATTTGTATATCGCATCAAAATTCTATTGGATCTCAACATAAAGTAGGTCATTCGGGCTCATTCTTTTCTCAAAGAATTTTCTTTTCAAACCTTAGAAGACTCGATTTATGGTTCAGAAACATTCATTTAATTGTTTACTGGTAAGAAAATTGAACTGTACTGTAAGAAATAGAAATGGGAAGGTTACTTAAACCTTGCGACTAAATGGCCGGCTAGCAGGGATCACGCCTTAAATCATAGTAAGACGGAATTGGTATTATGTGTCTCAAGGAAGTAGGTACTATATCCGCAATGGAACTCATTCCTTGATTGTTATTTGCCTACAACTTTCCAACAGTGTCAGTTACTTGTGCCTGAAGAAAAGGTGAGAAGGTCTTCATTAGCCTTTTATTGCTTCAGGAGACGTATTGGATGTGGTATCTTGTCCTCATGACACCACAGTTACGCCCCTGAAGTTTTATGGAGTTCGAGTGGGTGTAATGCGCTAGAAAGAAAAATAATATCCAAATCATTTGTTGAGAGAAATGTATTTAATTGACGAAGTTAAACTCATTTTAAAATTGGTATTAGTGGCGCTTTGCGAACCGCTTGTACTGTGCAGCTTAATGCCATACTAAACAAAATGCCTGTCAACACTGTAAGTAAAACGTATGCAGTAAAGACTGCAATCAGGCTCTGGCAAACCAAATGCCTAACAAGCTCAAGCTTGAAAGTTTCGATTTCACCCCTGAGTCCTTTAGAATTTTAAGCAGAATTGATTTCCATTAAAGAAGCAGTAAATACATTGCTAAACGTAAACGGGAGTACTGAGCTAAGTAATGGATTTATTAGACTTACAGACAGTGACTCAAACAAGTCAACACGTGTTGATTTTCTTCAAGTATTCGTAATGTTGTTTACAAATATCGTCTAATTTTCATCAAAATTTCAACTTTTTATTCTGAATTTTTAGAAGATTTTTATAGTATGCAGTTTTATATCCTATACAATTTTAGTCTAAGGAGGTGCAAGTTTCAAACGGCTAAAAATGGCGTTGATTTTTTAGAATGTTTTTTTTTTTTTGGTGACGGATTTTTGCACTTTTTTTAATATAAGTATGAATTTCTTATGAAATAAAACGCGGGAGACCGTCAGCAACAAAATTTCAAAATATCAACTCAAGTTTTTGTAAATTGCACTTGTTGTTTCAAAAAACCCGAAAAAGTAGCCTCCAAAAAAAAATTCTCAAAATCAGCGCGATCTTTTAGCCGTTTGAAACATGCACTTGCAATCATCTTTTTAAAATGCAGAATTAAAAGTTGAAATTTTGATGAAAATATCTCGAAAAATATAAGGAATATTTGAAGAAAACACGTGGTCATTTGTTTGAGTCACTGTATATTGGATATCAGGACACAACGACATTGCGGAAACTGCATTGCTGACGAGCAGGCGGGAAAGGGCACTCTTGAAGCGATATCACCGTGCAGTAAACGAGTGGCAACTCTACTGGCCATCTATGATTCTCTCTTGGACCTCAGGTCAGCTCAGCGAAAGCTGGGCGAAAACTAGGACATGCGCGATTGGCAGGTACTTTTGGCCCAGTGTCAGTCAAGGGCGGAGTGCAGTAAAAACCGAATGTGAGTTACCTTATTGCTTTCTATACTGAAAACGGAATTTAGTTACGTAGTTAGTTGGTAACTGAAACTAAATCATCTGTTTAGAGAAATATATTTAGTTGATGTAACAAAACTCGTT